CAGAACCCCAGGCAGAGGGAGCCCGGGGGCGGGGCTCAGGGCCTGCTCCTTGGGGATGGCGGTGTGCAGGGCAGCCGGATGCAGCGTGATGTCACCCAGGCCCTCACGCACACGCATGCACACGTGCGCACGCGCACTCCCAGCCACTCACCGCCTGGGCTTGGACGTCTGGGAGCTGAACTTGGTGAACTCTCCAGGCGCCGTCCACTCCGAGCCAGTCTGGGGGTTGGAGGGGGTCACCCGGTCCATGGGAGCACCAGCCCCACCCCACCCCATCCCACCCCACCCTGTCCCTAAGATGCTGGAGGAGACGGGACTGAGGCCACAGGAAGCCCAGCGGAGAGAGGCAGGTGTGGATGGAGGGCAGGGCTGGGGTCAGGGCTGGAGTGGGGGTACCTTGCCCACAAAGGCCACCAGCTGGGCACCTGCCGGGCTCTCATTTGGGCTCAGCCAGAACTCAGAGTTGTCGTCGGAAGCCACAGAGAACTGGACGTCTCCTAGGGCACAGGCCGGGGCTCAGGAGCTGTGGGCCTGCGGGACGCCCCCCCGGCCCGCCCCCCGCACCATCTCTCGCCGGGTGGAGGAAGCCGAAGATCCGCAGTCCGTAGTTCTTCCACTTGGGGGACACAGCCAGCTTCTTCACGGTGGTGCGCGCCTGGGGGCAGCGACCTCTGACGTCAGTGCCCCCTCACCCCACCCGGGAGCCAGCTGTCCCCTGCACCCCCCCCCAACTCACGTGAGGGAACAGCGGGAAGTGCAGGTTCCTCCTCAGATGGCCCACGGCGCCCCCGCACCAGTCCTCGAACACGTGCAGGTTCACCTGCCCTTTGTACTGGGGGGGAGGGGGTCTTACTTTCCACACCGACCCCCAGCCTCCCCCCTCCGGCCATGCAGGCTGCAGAGCTCACCTCCTCCCGCCAGGGGGGTGCTTGATGCGTGAGGTTCAGGGGGGGCGGCCCTCCAGCTCCCCCAGAAAACAACGCGTTCAGGTCCTGGCTGTTGGGCTACAGGAGAGAAAGGGCACAGGGTCGGAGCTGGGAAACGTCCCATAACCACACCCCTGCCCAGCACGGCCCAGGACTCAGCCCGGCGGAGTGCAGCCCCCACGCCCACGCGTGCCCACGTCCGGGCCGCACCCTCCATGCACACAGCCCACACGGTGGCCGCAGGGTCCCGTGTGCAGAACACAGGTGCTCGCCCCCCGCCCCGCTCACCGCCTGCTCCTCCTCGCGACTCTCGCTGGAGTCCTCTGCCCTCTGCGTGGACAGGGCAGCCCGGACCCCCCGGCCGTCTGTCACACCGCTCAGCTTCTCACCGTCTGGGGGGGACACACGGGGTGTGGCCAGGGCCCAGGCTTTCTCCAAGGCTACAGCCCTGCCGCTGGGTCAGGCACCCCATCCCACATGGCTGGGCCAGGGCAGGAAGGCCAGTGTCTCCTGCTGGGGCCCCTTCTCCCTGCCGCTCCTCTGTCTACCAGCCGCCCCCCCAGCTTCATTGGGACAAGTACTGGGTCCTCTCCCCACATCCCGCAGGGGGGGGCGGGGGGCTAGAGCCTCTGCCTGGCCTTCCCAGCCCCTGGCAGCTGAGTGAGGGAGCAGTCAACCCTTAGTGTGCACGTGCTAGTGTGTATGTGCGCACACACCATCTGGCCATCCTCATCAATGGCTCCACCTCCAGGAAGACGCCCAGGGCTGCCCTGTGCCCTCAGCACTTTTCCCGTGCGCTGGGATGTCTTGGAAGCCTCTTTCCAGAACGGAGCGCTAGGGGTTGGCTAGTGCCGGAGCTGGTTGTCTGGAGGCTAAGCCACCCCAGCCGTGGCCATGCCACCTGCTGCCCCTGAGGCGGGGTCTGGGACCAAAGGAGGCCTGGCACCAGCCTGGGCAGCGGAGGGACAGGCACGCTGGGCTGGCTGCTGGCAGGTGCGAGGCCCGGGAGGCCCGGAAGGGACACTGTCCCTGGGGACCGTCCCCAGGTCTGACTGGACGGCTCCAGTTTCACGACCCCCCACCCCCGCCCCTCCTGGAGCACCTCCCGGGGACCCCGACCCAGGAGCCCCCACTGCTCCAGGGCCAAGCCTGGGCTTTCACATCCATGCCCGTCCCTCAGTCCAGACCCCCCTGGACTCCAGTGTGGACACAATCGTCTCGGGCCCCGTCTCTGGGGAAGGTGGCCGCCTGTGGTCTCCCGTCTGAGAGACCCTGTGGCACCTGCCCCCTGGTCCTCACCCCCGTCTCTATCCAGCCGCGAGGTGAGCCCCCAGGGCCTCCCAGCCAATCCCACAGCCTGGCCCGAGGCTCACTCCCGCCAAGCTGTCCGTGGGCCTTGGGGTGCAGCGGGGTCCCCTGCAGGGCTCAGCCCCAGCCCAGGTCCACACAGGCCCCCAGTGCACGGCCTGCGGACCCCAGGAAGGTAGCCGCCCGGGGGAGTGACGGCCACAGACCCGTCAGGATGGGCCTGTCCAGCTGCTGCCCTGGAAGGTGCCCACGAGGCTTAATCGTCCAGGACCCTGAACAGCTCCTGCCCACCCGGTTCCATGGTCTCAGAAGTGGGGTTCCCATGCCTCCACCCCTCCCCTTTGCTGAGTTAGACTCCCTGGCTGAGCAGGAAGCTGGTTGGGGAGGACTGTGGTTGCTCAGAAAACCACGCAGGCGGCTCAGGCAGGGGCTGGTTTTGCTCTGTGTCCTCGGGGGTCCTGCCTCATGTACTGCTAGTTGGGGTGTCCCCAGGTCACGCTCGGGGGTCCTGCCTCATGTACTGCTAGTTGGGGTGTCCCCAGGTCACGCTCGGGGGTCCTGCCTCATGTACTGCTAGTTGGGGTGTCCCCAGGTCACGCTCGGGGGTCCTGCCTCATGTACTGCTAGTTGGGGTGTCCCCAGGTCACGCTCGGGGGTCCTGCCTCAGGTGCTGCCAGCTGGAGGGGCGGTGGTGGCTCTTTTAGGAGCTGAGCAGCGCTGGAGGCCTCGAGCGCCTGGGTCTGTGAGGCCGGGTGTTGGGGACACCACAGGGGGGGCAGAGGGGCCTCAGCAAGTGGGGGTGCGAATGAGGCCTCAGCAAGTGGGGGTGCGAATGAGGCTGAGGCAAGTGGGGGTGCGAATGAGGCTGAACGGGGAGGTTTGGCCCGGGGGGAGGGGCCCCGATGTGATGAGTCAAAGTCACTCTTCTAAGTCTTTGGGAGGCAAGACGCTCACCCCGGCCCCGGCCTCAGGAGGCCTCACTGCCTTGAGGGCCGGCAGCCTGCTGCATGCTTCCTACCCTGAGGTGCTCCCCTCCCCTCCATCCTCCTCTGGGGCTCCAGGTATCCTGTCCCCCCTCCTCATCGCACTCCGGGTTTTCCTGCTGTTGGAATGCTACTCCCCAATCTGTCAAAGGTCACCTCCTCCAAGAGGCCCCCCAGGATTCCCCTGGCTCTTCCCCGCTGGAGTGTGAGTGCCAGGAGCCTGGGCGAGTTCGCCCAAGGCTGTTCCCCAACGCAGCCCCAGATCCCAGGTCACCGGGGCACCCCCTCTAGGGAGCCTTCCAACTGACGGGTCAGCTCGCCCCAACCTTCCCCCCACCCTCCAACCCCCCGCCCCGCAGGTGGGGAAAGCAAGGCTCCGCTACGGACGCGGGCAAGTGGCTGAAGCAGCAGCCGCCCGGCTCCTGGAGGTCCCAGCGGCAGGGCCTGCGGGGACCCCTCCGGGAGCCCCGTAACCCTGTCGCTCC